TGTTACCAAGTTGTAGCTGTTACCGGTAGGACGAAAATTAAAATATGTTTCATAGCACGTTTTGGATTATTCATTTTTTGCGAGTTGACAACTGATAAAATCATGCACAACTTTTTTCATACTATAAGAGAAGCATATGTGATTATCTGACAGCCAATTCTATAGGTTAAATATGCAAGCTTGGTGCTGAACTTGTAATCAAGCAAATTTGATTGGTTAACAATATAATTTCACTGAATAGCGCCCTCAAGCAGCCATTTGAGCAACATATCAATTTAAGCAGTGCCCTCTGAAGGTACACATTTTATGATTACAAATGATAAACAATTGTCATATGTCTGGTACCCTCACAGTTTCTTGCACACAGGGGGTGTCATGTTTTTGCCACATGTACAGACATGTACTTTATATTTTTTGTTGCTTTTTAATTCAATCCATCAGATGTTATTTTATTAAAGTAGTTTTCCATGGTCAACTAATATTATTATTATTATCATCTCAGACATGTGAAAAAAGCTACAAATGTAATTCTAAGCTGTCAACCTCATAAATTTTTCCTATGCATGTACAGGCAGCAAAAACCACTGAATCTTCTCCCACAGAAAACTGTGAGGGCGCCATACATATGAAAAGGATCTATGGTTGTAAAACACAATTGAATTTAAAAGGTCTTACAGCAACATTGCATCCAAAAACCACAAATATGAATCGAAAATTAAATTTAAAACGAAAGTAATAAGACCTCGCAAATAAACATGTTTTTGGTCAAATTATTTTTCCCAGTGAGGTATTTTATTATTCAGTTGTGTACACATGGTACACATGGTTAGTTCAATTTGTACACTGTTGAAGTGGTAGAGTGAGTGAAGAAAAAAGTGTGCACACTGACCCAAAAAATTAATTATTTTTTTAAGGTCTAATAATATATAAAATAGATATGGAAAAACAGCCATCATTTGGGAGGAGTGAATAAAAAAAACAAAGAGTAAGATCGAGTGCACAGAATGCAAAGAAAGTAAAGCAAGTGAACATGTCTTCAATATGATAGTAAATTAATACTGTGTGGTTACACATTCTGGAAAGTGACTTAATTGGAAGCAGTAAAAAAGACAGCCAATCAAATTTCATCAATTTTAAAAATAAATTGATGAGCACACAATTATATATACTACACTATGTCTTGTCTATACATGTAGTACCAAACTTTAAAAAAAAATAGGTCAATGCATGTCAGAAGAATTACGTTGGGTGCACACATGAAAAAAACTTATAACATATTAAAAGTCACGTCAGATTCAAACAGGAACAAAAAACCCACCTGCCACTCTTAGAAATCTTGGAAGATGAGAGAGTATGCTCTCCAGCTTCAGTATCTTTTCCTAGTTTTGTCAAATTAAGTTTGGTTTCCAGCGTCATGCAACATGAGCCGTAATACGTGATATCCAAATCCACCCAGACTCCTCGTTCATCCATTACTGGCTTAGAGGTACGGCGGATGACCGGCATAGCAATACCAAGATCAATATCAGTGA